ATAACCAAAATGCCCTTATGGTCTAGAGTAAGTAAATGTCTTAGATTAATTAAGGAATCCAAATAAACATATGTGTTATACTACCTTTAAAAGTTATGGAACACAACTTAAGTGAGTCGTTCAACCCTAATGCTATGTCAATATCTGAATGGTATAGATACCACTTGAATCCTTGTTCGTCTCCTCAAGTTTGGATTTATATTAATTATGGAAGTACTAACCTCAACTTAACTCTAGAGCACATTTGGTAATAAAAAGTGGATATTCGTTAGACAAATCAACCACGAATATCAAATTGAACTGAACAGAAATACAATATGTATGGAAATTTAGAAACATCTGAATTACTCTGGAAAACTCTGAAGTAACCGGGATAGACTTGACTTCTAAGTGAACTAAGTAAGCTCAATGACTGAGGATTTAGTAAGTGATTGGGATAAGTTTGGAAACTCGGATAAACTTACATGATATATCATCCCTATAGGTTATAAACCACAAATAAATTACGCCGACATTTCATATATAGTTGAAACATGGAAATGAAATAAAGACCATTAGAATATATGTTCGTCTCCTTAAGATTCATTCAGCGATGAAACAAAAGATGATTTATGGACAATAATTATTGGAATTAAAGAGTAAATAATTGGAAGGGCAACAAATGGACCGGTTAACATGCACTAGTTTTGGGAGTTATTTAGCTTGAGTTATTTTGATAATCCAATAGAACAGTATAAACTGTAAATGTCTTGAATCTTTATTTCTTCCTTATCAACTCAAATCACATTCTGAATAATTGATGGTTCTATCAGTTAATGAACTCTTCCTATATTGATTTTAACTTCCATCATTCTATCGGTATACTGAAGATCTGTATTTCTCTACCAGATAAGATTATCTAATATCTCTGAATAATATCTGGAACTCTAGTGTGTTCCCTAATCACATGAATATTTTATCTGATTTCCAATTTGAATTATGTTATGATATCTGACCTGGATTCTATTCTAATATCTAACTTGAATTATGTTTTGATTTTTGATATATCAGTTTACGGATGGAAAATTTTTTATTTGGGGGGTATTGTTGGAGATGAATACTTGCAAGCTCATCGACTTTATGCTTAAGGCCTTACTCGATGTGACGGTGTGTGTATGGTTCTGGGGAACCTACACATTATGATGTGTTTGGTTGAAGGGATTACTATGGTTTTAAATAAATGTTTTATTTAGGGGGGTATTGTTGGAGGAAGTATACTTGCAGGCTCCTCTGCTTTGTGCTCATGGACTTACTCAATGTGACGGTGGGTGTATGGTTCTGGGGAACCTACACATTATGATGTGTTGGGCTGGAGGGATTACTATGGTTTCTGAATTTTAAAAATATGTTTTAAAAAGATATGTATCTTTTCACTGGTTTTGAGTGAACACACTAGATAACCTATTATGATCTCCTGAACTCAATCATCCGAAATATTTTAGAAAAAAATTCTTGAGATTTTACAATGGGTCGCTCCGGTGGCCCTAATGTGACACCCCAGATCGGATCGGATTTGTTAACTGCATCAGTCTGAGGGGGTTACATTTAGGAAATAAAAGGAAAATGGTTCAAAATACAAGCAGTGTTATGATGGTAAGAGGAAGTTAAATGCATCCAATGTAATGTGTATGTATTGATATATTAATGCATTCAAATGCAATGTTCTATACACAAAGCAAAACATCTATGGTTGTACATTGTACTGATAATTAAATTGGCAGATGCAAAATGGAATCCATAATAATCGTGGGGTTTTATTTAATTTTAAATATTGGAAGTGAATGACCAATATTATCTCTCTTATTTCGTTATTTTTTGTTGCTTAAATCCTATGATTTCATTATGATATCTTTGATTACTAAATTATATTTTTCTTCAGACAACAGTCAAACCAAGCTTACAAAGTCAGAAATCTGCAGCCGCTTATGATGAAGATATGGATCCAACAGTATAGTTTAATTTTTGTTATAGTGATACTTTTCACAAATCACAATGTAAAATTCATAAAGATTTAAGTGAGATCTTGGCAAAATGTTAAACTTAACATTTTGTTATCAGCAATTCCATGTGAATAGACTGAATTTCTTACATTTCAAAAGGCAGAAGGAAAAAAAAGTATATCCTCATAAATTATTCACATCAATGTCTATAGTCAAATATATAGATAAATATTGAAGCTCGGGCAATGGGGAACATATTGAGAATGTTGCAATGTCTTTGGCTGGTATTTAACGAGGCCCTTCTACTCCCATCATATAACATCCAATGTATCATGGTTGTGTTCATTTATTTATTTTGAAATGAATCTATTGTATTTATTTTATGCTAGGTATAATTATGAGCAAAAGAGCATCCAACTAAAAGTTTTTATTTTATGACTTGCATGGTGGCGGTCCCAAAGTGCTAGTTATGGTTGATGCAAGGTATATGACCATTTTCATCCTAAGATGTGTTTTCTTATTTATGTCCAAATTTCTCTTGTTATGTGAAGGTTTATGGGACATTCAAGACAAAGGTGGTTTATGGGACATTCAAACTCAAGCTTGGATAAAGCTGAATTCGCTAAATTCCATTCCACTGTGAAGCGTGGTGATGAAGTAATCAGGTGAAGATTTTGGAATGTCAAGATCGACAATCAGGTGATGATGAAGCAATGACTTTGGATGAAACATTTTGTACTACACTTGAGTTTAGGTTGCCACCAACAGGTGGTTGGGGATTGGGTATCGGTCGGCTAGCTATCTTATTCACGGATTCACAACATATCATGGTTCTCTCTAATATGTTTGTGTATCTGGATATAAATCACTCATATATGAGATTCAATCGACTTTTAATCGGCACTCATAACCTATTGCATGCTATGTTTGAACAAGAGGTTTTTATCCTCATAGCAATGAAACCTCAGGATGAACCATCAGCTAAAGGTAATTAATTCAATTTTTTGCACTGTTTATCTCCTCATATGTTTCTGAATTCAATTTTGAATGTAGAACATCATACAATATTGTACCCTTAATAAACGTGAAATGTATTCATGTTATGTTATATTGAATTTATAGCATAACACTGGATTGTTTGGTTGTGTTAAAAGCTCTAACAACTCAGTGAGTTCGACCGGTTGAAATCCGAAACTATGAAGCCATATACAGGGGACTGAAATAAAATACATAATAAATAAAAGGTTCAAAATACAAAGATTAAAGCTTCATTTAGTGACTAAAATGGAAGATTACAAATGTGGAGACCCTTCCCGCATGAATAGACTATGAGCTAAATGCATGGTCTCTACGTCTCAACACGGCGTCGTTTGGTTTCTTAAATGTAAGCCAAACTTATGCCCTAAATGGCTAAGAAACACTTTGTATCTCTTTCATCTTTTTCCTAAAACCAGAAATCCATACTCTCTCTATCTCATCTTCTCATCCATCAAGAAGTAGCCGACCACGCAACGGTCGCCGTAAATCGGTGTCGTTAGTGGAAACATTCCCTAAAATGACCCCTTTTGAAACCCAAATCTCACTAAGCTTCTCTTTGAACCAAACGTTCAAAGATTCGAAGCCTAAAATAAATTTTCAAAGACCCTAAACCTTAAAAACACCACTATTAAAGACCCCTAAACTACCCAGAAAAGACTCAATATCCTAAAAGTGAGGTTTTACCCTTAGGAACAACGAAGAAGCAATGACAACCCTCCCTCAAAGGTATAATTTTCTTGGTTTCCTTCTCCTTTTTGTGGTTTTGTATCTGGTTCGAAAATGGTGTTTCTCCTTTCGATTTTTCTCCCTTGTTCGAAGATGGTGATTAGGTTGCATTTCTTTTTTCATTTTTTCTTGTTCTCCAAAACTCATCCCTTCTTCGAATCTTCTTGCATGTTATATATGGAGAAAAAGGCCTCTTTTTCCACATTTCGGGCCTCTTTAACCTGACAATGGGGACACACCGGCGGGGACAACGCCTGGGTTCGGCAATGTGATGGCATCAAAGGATAGGGTAAATTTTTTTACCCTGATACATTTGTATTTTCCTCTATAGTGACCGGCGAGAGATGCGACGGCGGTGACGATGAAATAAAATCTGAAACAAAAACAAGTTTGATGCCATTAAACGATGGGGGAAACGGCAAGGGCTCATCTAGGGCCATCGAATCATATTTGATCCAAGGGTAGAGAAGCTTACGGTGACTGGAATCAATTAGGGTTAGTAATAAAACTCTAGTTTTATTTGTAATAAGGGTCATTGGATCAACCCTAAATCCAACGGCTAGGGCATATGCTAGAATGTGAGGAAACCCTAATTTGATAGGTCTTCTCGCGTGGGCCTGGCTGATGGGTTTAATATGTTTGGGTTTGGATTTGTAAATGGGTTTTCAGTTTTGTAATAATTGGTTCTTGTAAATGGACTTTAATTTGATCCAATGGTTTAAAAATGTGTGATTAATCACAGCTCATGCCAAACTGCATAACATTTGATAATTAAATCTTATATTTTATTAAATTACATGTGATGTTTGGGTTTTAAAGGCTGGAAATTATTGCTGCCTAACTTCCGAACTGAAAACCATGTGTATGCCACCGCTACAAACACACTGAATAAACTGAAACACAGGCGTATCCTACATAAAACAGACTGAAACAGAAACACGTTTGATGCAACATTTTCAATATAACAGACTGAAATAGAATCTGAAACAGAAACGAGTTTGATGCTGCATTTGTAATATAAAAAGGAACTGACCATTGTAAATATTATACACATAGTGGATGTTGATTGTAAGAGTATTGATTGTAACAATGCTGTTGAATTATAAGTTGGTGGTTGTTTTGGTGATTTGTTAATTAGTTCTAGTTACAGCTCAACCCCCATACATTTTTATAAACTCAGTCTCCAATGGCCTCATGCTGTGCGTAATTCCGATGGCATGACATGTGGTACTCCTATCCCGTCTGTGTTAACCATCCATGGTATATGGCCTCAAGATGCCAACGACGTTCCGATTCCCCCCTTTCAACGCAGCTACTAATCCCTGTTGCTCCATGGCACCCATTACTTCCCGGTCAGTTCTTAAGGTAAGCATCTCATCAACTTTTTAATTTACATTTTTTATTTGTATTTAAATTTATATATATGATCTAACATATATTTCTCTTATTTAGAAAGCATTAACTCCAATTCGAAGCAACTTAATACCATTATGGCCGGTATTGAAGAATCCTACTCAACCGAGTACTGGCTTTTGGGAGAGTGAATGGTTAAAGCATGGAACATGTTCTGATTACCCTTATTACCCTCTTGATTACTTCAAATCTGCCTTAACGCTTAGACAAGGCTTAACAAATCCAGGTGAGTATGTTTCCTTTGTACTTGCTTTTATATCTTCTGTTATTGAGTTTATGTATAAGATGGTTGAAAAGTTGGAATGATGTAATTTCTATGGGTTTCAATATTATATTATTATTAGTATTATTATATTATATTATACAACAATTTTTAAGATTAAATAGTTGGTAATTCATCTTCCTAACACTGTTTCTAACTTACTTTGATTGATTCAGTTATGGAACTTACACCAGGAAACATTTATATGGTTTAAGATGTTATAAAAATAATTCAGGGCATTACAAAAGCTTCACCTGAAATTGCTTGTAACAGAAACAAAACTAGAGGACTACAACTGAGGATGATTCGTTTGTGTTACGCTCGATCAATTTCGTCTTCTCAAATGATTACAAAGATTCAAAACGGCCCACATAAATTGTCATTTAAAAATGGAAAAACTACAGGCTCCTGCAAATTGTTGAAAGATTTTGTAGTTTATCCCATATAGAAACTTTGAATAAAGGTTGCAATAAACCTTCAAAGTTATGATATTTGTAATAAATAATAAAATTAACTTTAAAAATATAAAAGTGTTTAAATTATAAAAATAATAAATATTAAAATAATATATAGATTTAAATCAATCCCATTCCTTGATATTTTTATTTAATGTTCCTCGTGTATCTTCATAAGCATGCACTAATGAAAAAAACATTAACCTCAAAGAATAGGAAGTCAAAGAGAAATAATGTGATTAAGCTACTTGTTGATAACGACATATATTTTCTTATGTTAATTTAATCTCAATCAACCCGAAATTAGGAGACCTACCTTTATAAAGTATTTTCTAAAAATAATCAAGGCTTTTATAATAAATTTATCCTATCAAATTAGAAGATAATTAAATAAATCTTTGAATAAAATATTGTTTTGATTGAATCTCATGTTAATTTAGACTCTATAAAATGAAAGTAAAATTTATTACTTTAATAATTATATAAAAATAACCTAAATCAAGAACCATCAATTATAAAGGTAAGAAATTGAGATCATTAAAAAAACCTTAATGTTAGAAATTAAAAATGAGTAGAAATTGTAAAATTAGTATGGGTTTCATTATCATATTATTATTAGTATTATTATATATATACAACAATTTTTAAGATTAAATAGTTGATAATTCATCTTCCTAACACAGTTTCTAACTTACTTTGATTGATTGGGTTATGAGACTTACACTAGGAAACATTTATATGGTTCAAGATGTTATAAAAATAATTTAGAACCTTACAAAAGCTTCACCTGAAATTGCTGGTAACAGAAACAAAATTGGAGGACTGCAATTGAGGGAGATTTGTTTGTGTTACGCTCGACCGATTTCGTCTTCCCAAATGATTAAAAAGATTCAAAACTACCAACATAAATTGCCATTTAAAAATGGTAAAACTACAGGCTCCTGCCAATTGTTGAAAGATTTTGTAGTTTTTCCAATATAAAAACTTTGAATAAAGGTTGCAATAAACCTTTAAAGTTATGATATTTGTAATAAATAATAAAATTAACTTCAAAAAATAAAAGTGTTTAACTAATAAAAATAATAAATAATAAAATAATATATCAATTTAAATCAAACCCATTCCTTGATATTTTTATTTAATTTTCCTCGTGTACCTTTATCACCATGCACTAATGAAAAAAACATTAGCCTCAAAGAATAGGAAGTCAAAGAAAAATAATTTGATTAAGTTACTTGTTGATAATGACATATACTTTTTATGTTAATTTAATCTTAATCAACCTGAAATTAAGAGACCTACTTTTATAAAGTATTTTCTAAAAATAATCAAGGCTTTTATAATAAATTTATCCTATCAAATTGGAAGATAATAAAACAAATCTTTGAATAAAATATTGTTTTGATTGAATCTCATGTTAATTTAGACTCTATAAAATGAAAGTAAAATTTATTACTTTAATAATTAGATAAAGAATAACTTAAATCAGGAACCCTCAATTATAAAGGTAAAAACTAGAGATCATTAAAAACCTCATTGTTAGAAATTGAGAATGAGTAGAAATTGTAAAATTAATAATTATGTTATTTGCATCAAAAATCCCTAAATTATAATATTTTGAATTGGTCCCCAAATTTTAATTGTTCTAATTTACTTTTCAAAGTACTAATATTGTTTCAATTAAGTCCTTCTATCATCCTAGTCATCAACTTGAACATTAACAGAACATATACAAAAACACGTGGATCTTGGTGACAAAGCAATTCACATGGGTCAACTTGACCATAGAAGGCTTGGAAAGAGGAAAATGATGCAATTATGAGCTTTTGTCTTATAGATATTATGATTTCTCACCTAAATTTCATGAACAAAATTAATAGAATAAGTAACAATAATAAAAAACTTAAATGCATTTATAGATTTAATAAAACTTATTATTAACAAATGTTAATAGGTCATATCAAATTTGAATATGAGTTTTAATAAAAAAATTATATTTATTTAGTTGTTAATGTTCAGTTAAAGTTAAACGAACATACATGAACATATTTTTGTTTGTGTTCGTTTAGTTCATTTACATATTTATTTAATTCTAATAAAATAAAATTTGAATTCGCTCAAATATGCATGATTGTCCCATCTGATATGAATATTAAACTGAAATTGATGATGATTGATATTGTTTTATTAAATTGTTGTATGGGATTGATAATTAAATTATTGACCAATATTGTTATTTATTTCAATTGAAGGGATTTGAAGATCCATTTATATAGTTTAAAATATTTTATTTATATACAAATTTAGGACTATTTGATGAGTAGATATAGCTGAACTAGATTAATTCTTTATTTTTTTCATTGAATATCTTTTCATTTTCTATTGTTAATCTCATTCTTCTATTTTCACTCATCTAAAAATACTAAATCTATGTAAAACTAACAAAGTTTACACTATGTAATTGGACCTATATATATAGACAAGCACTTTAACCTCTAACATTTCATTTAGGAAAAAAGAGTTTCTATGCGGAAGAAAATCATTAGTCAACAAACAATCAACGTATTAAGATGTAGTATCAATTTTACATGGCATCACATGCTAACATAAAAATCGAAGACGATGACTGGTGATGAAAACTGACAGTGGGCGACGACGACGATGAGTGGGGAGTAGAGACATTCACTTTTATTGAATTTAGGGGTCAATTCATATTTTATATAGAGTTTAAGAGTTATATTACTATTTTAGATTGGATCAAGTCAAGGATAGTATTTTAATCTAAAAACTATGACAGATTTGTGGCAAGAAAAAAAATTAAAAATCATACAAGCGAGATAAGATCATATATAAATAATATTTTTTTCAAATCAATATCGAAACTGTCAAAAAAACCAACCCATTTAACCCATGCCCGTCCTTATTCATACTAATAAAAGTAATATCTTATTGTATATAGTCAATATTGTGCAAATCCTGTCTATGATAAGCTAATGAGTTTTAAAAGGGCTCAACCCGGCCCATCAAAGTAGTGTAACCAATGATCAGTTTCCATTGTAGTTTTCTTGTTATAGAAAAATGTTTGATGTTACCTATTATAAGTTTTGTCTGTCTTCATTTTCTTTCATATTAGTTCTCATTGTATTTCCCCAAACAAAATCATCTATTGAAACCCCAAAGGAAATAGAGAAGATAAAGAGGGAAGATGCAAGGGTTGATCAAAACTAGAACCTAATTGCTAGAGATCTTCATGTTGGAGATTCTCTCAAAGCTTCATGTTAAATCCTTGACCCGTTTCAGGTGCGTTTGTAAGCTCCTGTCTTCATCTTTTGAAACCCCTCATTTCATTACCAAACATCATCAGAACAACCTAAAAAACAATAACCTTAATCTCCTCCTCAAACTTTGTCATGGTGGCATCCATGATGACATCCATTATTTCTCTCAACTTTCGACCGAGAAAGACCAAAACTTTATAGTAAAACACAATATTCACTTACCTTTTTTTGAGAATTTTGTGCATGGACCTTTTAATGGAATTTTATGTTTAGCAGATCTAGGTGGTATTGGACATAATGTTCCCTTTGGAACCCATCTACCAGAGAGTATAAAATCCTTCCAAATCCACAATCCAACACCCTCCTGGACTATTGGATTTATCTAGTTTTAATTCCCTTGGTTTTGAGTATGATTCTCAAACTGATGACTTCAAACTTGTAAGATTTGTTACTAATTACTTTGAAGAGAATCAAGATGAAGGGTTGATGGTAGATTGGAACAGCCAAGTTGAGTTATATTCTCTTAAAAACAATTCATGGAAGAAAATTTCATTGGTTGATGGTTTTTCTTCTACTTTGTTTATTTATTGTCAGGCAGTTGCAATTGATCTCCTTATTCTTTCGTTTGATATGGTTAATGAAAAGTTTTCAACTTCACTACTGCCTAAATTTGGTGGGAGTTTAACAATATTATTTGGAACTTTTGGACTTCAATGGATTGCTTGGTGCTATTTTTTACCCAATTGAAGGATCTGACATGTCTTTTGATTTATGGGTTATGAATTGGTCATGGACTAAACAATTCAACTATTGGGGACGTTGAGCTCTCAAAAGCAAATTCAAGTATGAAAACCACTCCATGTGTGGCATATATATGCACCTACAATCATGATATATTGGTCAATAGAACTACATATCAGAGTTAACAACTAAGAAAATATGTGGGACGTAATTTCATGGATCCACTAAAACAACCAAAAGCAAACATAAACTTAAACAGTGTCAATGGTTTGGTCTTGTTTTGTGTGAAGCCAATGTTAAGGATATCTTGTTTTCTGGAAATTGTTGTCTTTTTTCTGCATATATATGATAATTCACATGAGCTTCTGTTTGTTCTTATAAAGAGTTAGGTTGGTTTTGCATATTTGTTTTTCCAATTTAAGAATTGGAAATCTAAACCTTTTTGTGTGTGATGATTTTCATTCCTGACCTCAGTTATTTGTTTTAGAGGTAAATGGATTGCAGTCTTGCAGTGGTCTTGTTTTAGGTTGTTCGTGCTTGGATGTGAGTCTCAAATATGAGTATTTTGATAGTTTTTTTATGTCGTTGGAGGGTCCTTAGAGGATCATATTCTCATACATCCTGAAATGTACAAACACAGAATACGGGATACATGCACAATCGAATAGCCTTTACAGGATACATGTTGAGATTTTGGACAGATTAGTGGTCATTTGTTTGATAGTTTTGCTGAAACGAGATACACTTTGTATCATACAACACATGAATGCAGAATAAAAGAAGGTTTTCATGTTACTTAGATCTGTATTTCTCTAAAAATATTCATATCATATATTTATGTTACTTAGAATCTCATTCCAGAAGCGTTAATTTATACTTCTTGATGAATATTTAATGGGAAAACAAAACAAAGTTGAAAACTATTGTCTCGAACAAAAATATATGGATTGAAATAGCACTTGTAGAACCTTCTGTAGTATATTCCACTAGATATGTCTTCCTTGTTTTTGGGTATGATTCTTAAACTGATTGCTTCAAAGTTGTAAGGTTTGTTACTAATTACTTTGAAGATAATCTAGTTGAAGGGTTGATGGCAGATTGGAACAACCAAGTCGAGTTATATTCCCTTAAAAGTGATTCAAATTGAGTTATAGGGAGGCAGTTGGGGATTATGATGAGTGATGACCTTATTCTTTCACTAGTTGAAGGGTTGATGGCAGATTGGAACAACCAAGTCGAGTTATATTCCCTTAAAAGTGATTCAAATTGAGTTATAGGGAGGCAGTTGGGGATTCTGATGAGTGATGACCTTATTCTTTCATTAGATATGGTTAATGAAAAGTTTACAACTTTACCATTGCCTGGATATGGTGGGACTTTAGCACAATACTATTTGCAGCTTTTGGACTTCAATGGATTTCTTGGTGTTATTTTTTTACCCAAGGGAAGGAACTAACAAGTCTTTTGATTTATGGGTTATGAAAGGGTCATGGACTAAACATTTCAGTGTTGAATCTGTTCTTATAGTTGAGAGGCCTTTGAGGTTTTGGAAAAATGGCAAATTATTTTTTGAGAGCTCTGATCATGAACTAGTGTTGTTTGATAGCTAAGGATCTATAAAGAAAAAAGGAAAGATCTAATGGGATTTGGTCTCTTGATATGCACTTAGCTCAACTATATTGTCTTGTGATGTTCTCAAATAATGGTGACTAGTTTAAGTTTCTGTTTTCTTTTTGTTGTTTCAGTGGATGAACAAAATTACTCCCTACAGATTTGCTTATTTGCAGGTGCATATATATTCTAGACTCGGAGTACTTTTCCTACTTGACTTTGCTTCATAGAAGTCAATGTCCCCAATAGATAAATGTCATTTGAAGTTGAAAATAAGAACTATTATTGTTGGTATTATTATGATGTGTTATTGTCTGTACTTTAGATCCAATGAAACAACATCAAAGGTTTGGTTTTGTTTCCTTTGTGGAATATTTCTGGAATTTGTTCTCTTTTTTCTGCATATATATAATAATTCACATGAGATTCTGTGTGTGCCTATAGAGAATTTACATGGTTTTGCATGTTTACTTTTTCGTTTAAGAGTTAGAATTCGAGACCTTTTTGTGTGAAATGATTTTTATTCTGGACCTCAGTTATTTGTTTTAGAGGTAAATGGATTACATTCTTGCAGAGGTCATGTTTTACGTTGTTCGTGCTCGTATACAAGTATCAAACATATTGAATATGGGTATTCTGATAGTTTCTTAATGTAATCGGAGGGTCCTTAGATGATCTTATGCTTGTATGTATATCCTAAAATGAACGAACATGAGATACATACATATATGAGTAGTCTGGACAGATTAGTGCTCATTCTTACATTTGTTTGATGGTTTTGCTGAAATGAGATATTGTGGGTGAAGGCAATAAAATTTTGCTTGCGAGGAGACTTGAACATGAAATAACCCAGAACAAAACCTAAGCCTTAGCCATTTTGGCTATGCTACAGTAGTTGAGATAACATTTGAGAAATATATCTTAAACCAAATAAAATAAGTTAACCCAAATACCAAATAAGATTTCAAATCAGTTCCAACTTACTCGTGAAAAAACTCAAGCTCCCAGAAATCTCCATCTCCTCCAAGATGTTTTATTGGCGTTCATCCTGCTTCAGCCGTCGTGGTTTGCACCATTATCATCTTCAACACTACCATCGTTCCTAGACCAAACACTAACCGTCAACTACCTCTAGCAACTCGCCGTTCGTCTCAAAGAAGAGAGGGGCTTTTTCAGTTTACACACCATTTATCTCGACTACCGTTCGCCGGTGGTTTTCATGGCCATCACCATTAGGAGTACCAGGCCGCCGCGAGCGAACCCCTACCAACCATCATTGTCGAATCATCGCGTTAGTCTTTGAGGACCGATCGAAGATCCATCCGAGAAAACCCAACGATTTTTTGCTTTTCCCTGACCCAAGCAACAACGAATATTTTTGTTGAATGGATGCCCATGGAGTGACCGGACCGCCCCGAACACCATTACCGTTACCTCACGTATCGTCACGTACCGTCTGCGCACGTAAAGATGGTCACCAATTTTCAAACCTTCTAGAATCGGTATGAGTCAACTTGAACTGGATTGAGTCTACTCGGATCGAATCGATTCAACCCGAACTATTCTGAGTCAACCCAAATCAGTCTAATCCTTTGAACTGATCCGTTAACTTTGACTTGGACTTTGATCAAGTTTGACCGTTGACTTTGACCAAAAAGTTAAATTTTTCAAAAAGTAATATATTATTTTTTTCGATGTCATGAGTCTAAATATAAAGTCAGTTTTGCCAAATTCAAACCCGATAAGCTATTTTCACTGATTTACCTTCCTATTCGATTTGATTTTCATGATTAAGTTTTGTTTTTGATGTAATTTCTTTTGTTATGTATATGAGATATCACGGGACATCGAATTCAAATTCGGGAGCAATCGAATGGAGCAAATGGTCGATCAATGTAGGCCAAAAATTGAGGTAGTACTTTACTACTCTATGCATGCTTTACGATACATGTCAGTAATTGGTCAATGCATGATCAAATATGATTTGGATATAAGTTTCGTTTGATTGTTTTAAACCTAATATGATTTCGGTAAAGTGATAAACAACTGATTAAGACTCGGAGGACTTGTATAACTGAATTTAATGGCTGATAAGAAATTCTAAGTTCGGTGATCAACAAATAAATTGGTTAACCTTGAAATCTTCACTTTGATTATTCTTGTGAAAAGAATTTTAACGCCATAAATTACTTGGATAAGAAATTAAAAAATTACTCTTGAGATGTAAAATGACATGGATTCACCCTGACAGTGGATTTGACTTGTGTAATCCCCTCAGACCGATGCGAGTAACCCGATCCGATCTGGGTTGTCACATGAGGGCCACTGGAGCGACCCGGTGTAAAATAGTGAAAATTTTAAAACTTTTTATCAGAACATGTAAACTTATAAAATAATTTGTCACTATTTAAAAATAAAACAGATTTTCAGACTCGTATATAAAACAAAACACAATTACATGCCCCCTAATTATATGTACCATACTCTGCAAACAACGCCGGAAGAACTCCCATACTTATGACGATAGTTGCACTGATACAATTCTTTTAACAGTAATGTTGAGTAATAGAGTGAGCTTCGGAAAGCTCCGTAATACAAAACTACCAGATGATGCTGAAGAACGTATAGATACAGATAAACATATCTTTCCTTATCGGTTCCGACATCTATAGATTTTTATGCTGAGCGAAGGTCCTACTGATATTTCAGGTAGTAACGAAAAATGAGTTTTCAGTTTAGATAAATATTTCGGATGTCTAGGTTCAGGAGATCAGAATAGGTTATCTACTGTGTTCCCGTAAAACCAGTAAAAAGATACAGATCTTTTAAAATATATTTATATATATATACCCCCATCCGTCACGTACAAAATGTACAGGTTCCCCAGAACCATACAACCCCATCACGTACAGTAAGGCCCTGAGCACAAAGCCGATAAGCCTCCATGTATTCTTCCTCCAACAATACCCCCAAATAAAACATGTTCCGTCCGTAAACGGATATATCAAAAATCAAAATATAATTCATGTCAAGTATCATATCAAAATCCAAGTCAAGTATCAGATCAGAATCCAAGTCAAGTATCAGATCAGAATCCATGTCAGATATCATATCAGAATCCATGTCAAGTATCATATTAGAATTCAAATCGAAAATCAGATAAAATATTAATGTGAGTAGGGAACACACCATAATTTACAGATATTATTCAAAGATTTTGGATAATCTTATCAGGTAGAGGAACACGAATCTTCAGTATACCGATAGAATTAAGAATCACTATTGGAAGAGTTCAATAACTGACGGAATCATCAGTTATGCAGAATATCACTTGAGCTGGTAAGGAAGAAATGAAGGTTTAGGACATTTACAGTCTATGTCGATTGATTTCATTATCAAACAATTTCAAATGAATATCTCCTAGAAATAATGTTTATCGACTGGTCAATTCATTGTCCTTACAGGGTATTTACACTTTAATACCACAAATTCTAGTCCATATATAATCTTCGGAATCATCGCTGAATAAATCTTCCAATGTCTTTTTTTCATGTTCACGCTTCCACTATTTCATGAAATGCTGACGTGCTTGATTTGTAGTTAATGATCCATAAGAACATTACATCATGTATGTTCATTAACGATTCCAGACTCATCCAAATCACTTACTTAATCCTTAGTCCTTGAGGTTACTAAATTCATTTAGCAGTCAAGTCTATTACAGTTACTTCGAATTTTCCAGAGTAATTCAGACGTTCCTGAATTTCAGATACATATTGTACCTTCGTTCAATTCGGTCTTCGTGGTTGATTTATCGAACAAATATCCAATTCTTATTACTGAATGCAATCTAGAGTTTAGCTGTATACTTTCCAAATTATCATCGAGCCAAATTTGAGAAGACGAACACACATTCAAGTAATATCTATGTCGTTCAGGTACTGACTTATCATTAAGGTTGATCGACTCACTTAAGTTGTGTTCCATAACTTTTAAAGGTAGTTCAAAACCTATGCTTATTTGGATTCCTTAATTAATCCAAGACATTTACTTAGTATAGGCCATAAGGGTATTTTTGTCATTTTGGTGTTCAGTTTCATTCCAATCATTACAGAGCTCGAGGATATCCACTCATTCCTGAGCTTGGTGATTTTCTTGGGTCATTTCCATTATAGGGTATTATGGTCATTCTACAGATCCGATGTATTTCAATCATTTCCTTCCATCCTGTCTTATTATTTAATACCAATTTATCATCTATTTCAGTCCCTTCGAACAATTCTGTTAAAAGAGCACCCCAATAAATTGTTCTTCAGGTATTTACTCGCAACTCGGATATTTTCGGGTCAAGTGCCTTCTCAGATATTTACCAACGGAATATCAAGAATTTTTTTGCACTAAGTCAGGATCTTAACAATCAAATTCGTACTTAATCGAGTTAAGTACAAATCCTCAAAGTACTTTCTCATTCAGGGTTAACTCGAATTATTTTACCTCTCAAGAGGATTTTCGTAATTTCTTAACCAGATAATTTTGATATTAGCTCTTAATGAAAATAATTATAATTTAAAGATCCTATGGTCAATTGTTTTCCCGAACATTATCTAGTCTTGAAATTATTCCTTAACAAACTTTTAGCATCTTGCGCAAACCCTTTTTGGCGTTAAACACCAATTATCCAAAATTTCTAAATAAAACTATTATTTCTTATGCACATCTGTAATTATATCAGATCAATATGTATTTTCAGAATTATTAACCAATTTCCAGGGACAATTCAAGTTATACTACAATATAAGGGTATTTTCGTAATTTTACCCTACCAGAGTATTCTCATAATTTCCTATCCAAGTACCTTTAACATTTAACCTTTGATGATATAAAATATAAGTTACAAATACAGTGTTGATTTCTTTATCACTAATCACAAACTTGTAATTTAATTTTAACAATTCCTCAATCTCTTATTTAGTCATTCGATCCGTATTCAGTTACAAAATTTCTACCACATTCATATAGAGTGTATAAATTATTCAACTCCAAAAAAATGACCAACATTATCTTATTTATGCATTTACCAATATCAACATGTTCCATAAAGCATAAAGAGGTAGTAAAGTATAACCTCGATTTTTGTGTCATACTGATCGACCATATAAATTCCATTCGAATGCCTTCGATCTTTAATTCATCTTCAAATAATTCCTCAAATACATATCAACATAAATTTCATTAAAAATGGAGCTTAATTTTGAAAAACGGATCGAATCTGGTGATAAATCAGTGAAAACAGCTTACTGGGTTCGAATTTGAAGAAACGACTTCGGAATCGGACTCAGGACCTGTCAACTAAACCCAAAATATTACTCTTGAATTCCAGCTCGCCAATTTGATTTCTAGCTTCCAATATTTTCTAACTAACACAGACAATCTTGTAATTTAATCCTACAAAAGAAAGCCAAGGGCTAAGCTGGGTGAAAATACATGTTTATACAATGGTCCAACATGATCATCGTTTACGGCAACTATCCCATTTGACTTAAGGAATGGGAAATAGTATTTGTACCCATGGCATTTAATAATTACATCTACATCAACAATTGATCCATCTTGGAATACAACTTTATCATATTCATGTGCGCATTCAATCATTGAATGTTGCCAAGCGTCATCATGTTTTTCCAACTTTATCAATCGGAAATTAGGTCCTCTAATAGCCTGGTGAACTTGTTTTGCAAGTGGGGCGATCTCTCTTAGAATGTCGGTGGCACTTGGTCCATTTCCGATGAGCACCACTATCTTATTTTTTTAGATAGAATTATCGCCCCGTTTCATTAACAATGTCTTTACAAACATCAACAACATAAAGTTTGGTGGCCTAGTGTACTGACTCCTTGCTATATCTATGGGAATTTTCTTTCTTCCTCAAGCATGAGCTAATGGCGAGCATATGTAAATGCAAAACGCAATGAGAAAACTAAAGAGAAACACAACAACAAGTTAATACAAATTGGTTTCTCACCTTATCGACTGCAAGAGTGAAAACTTCAAGATATTTCCCAATGAAATTTTGCTTCATTCAAAACCACTTCATGTTCAAATCGAATCAGCTCCATCAACCAAAAGTCCCAGGCAAAATCCTCGAGAAACCTGAGCACCTCCTCGTGAACCGAAAAATGTCTCGGATCACCACCTTCTTTCTTCGTAAATGGATAGTCTAAGAATCCCATGACCTGCCTAGGAAGGTTGACTCTAAGAGATCTGTAAAGGCTTCTGTGAAGAATTTTCCGATTGAGGTAAATGGCAAACAAGTCGATCTCCACCTGTGTATACCACCAACTTTGTCGGCCTTTTCAAATACGACAACATAGTGACCTTCTCTTTGAAGCTCCCTCTGTCCATATTTCCTGCTCTCAGACTTGATGGGATTCATTAAAAGAAGAAAAATGAAGACTGTCTCTCTTTAGTAGAATACATCCGGTGGGATCAAAGGTGGTGACAGAGAGATATGGATAAGGATGGAGTGTTGGGGCAAACACTTGAGGAAAATGTTCAATGCAAGTGGATGAATAATCCTTATTTTATTCCCATCTCACCCAACAATCTGTCCACATTCTACCTAATTCTGAAAAACCACATGAATGTTATAATTAACTAAAGATTGGGGTGGTACAATTCTCCCCTACTTAAAAGAATTTCGTCCACGAAATTCATTAATGTCACATAATTGCATAAATGAAACTTCCATAAGTTTTTTCATATCTTCAAGTAGCTTTTACAGAAGTATCTGTCCTCTACTAATCTTTAACCAGTTTAGTATACATTCTTATCAGAACTCTCCCTCATTCCAATAAAAGAACCAGAATGAAAATATCCCTGTGGAATCAATTCAAACTTGGTTACAATAATAGATTCATAGAGCAGTAACATATCTCAATTTCATTTCTAGAGTCGGGTCAAAATTTCTCGGATAAATAACTCTCACATTACTTGTGAGGTATATTCCAGAATTCAAACAGACGTTACTGGTATTCCTTTTTGCAACGGTAGAGCACTAATGGTTAGAAAACTTATATTAGCTCATTGTAGAGAGGGACTCGACCTTGGAGTTCCGGCTTAGAGAGGTACAATTGTAGTCTAGCGGCATGTACTAATAAGACATCTTTTGACATTCGATCGACTGGTCTATAATGAAAATTTTGACTCAAACCAAAGCTCTGATACAACTAAATGTAATCCCCTCAGACCGATGCGGGTAACCCGATCCGATCTGGGTTGTCACATTAGGGCCACCGGAGCGACCCACTATAAAAAATATCAGAAAATTTAAAACTTTTTATCAGAACATGTAAACTTATAAAATCATTTGTTACTATTTAAAAATAAAACAGATTTTTAGACTCGTATATAAAAAAAATACAATTACATGCCCCCTAATTATATGTATTATACTCTGCAAACAACGCCGGGAGAACTCCCTTACTGATGACGATAGTTTCACTGGTACAATTCTTTTAACCTGCAATGTTGAGTAATAGAGTGAACTTCGGAAAGCTCAGTAATACAAAACTACCTGATGATGCTGAAGAATGTGCAGATACAGATAAACATATCTTTCCTTATTGGTTCTGACATCTATAGATTTTTATGCTGAGCGAAGGTCCTACTGATATTTCAGGTGATAGCGAAAAATGAGTTTTCAGTTTAGATAAATATTTCGGATGTCTAGGTTCAGGAGATCAGAATAGGTTATCTAGTGTGTTCCCGTAAAACCAGTAAAAAAATACATATCTTTTAAAACTTATTTATATATATATACCCTCACCCGTCACGTACAAAATGTATAGGTTCCCTAGAACCATACAACCTCATCACGTAGTGTAAGGCCCTGAGCACAAAGTCGAGGAGCCTCCAGGTATTCTTCCTCCAACAATACCCCAAATAAAACATGTTCCATCCGTAAACGGATATATCAAAAATCAAAATATAATTCATGTCAAGTATCATATCAAAATCCAGGTAAAGTATCATATCAGAATCCATGTCAAGTATCAAATCATAATTCAAATCGAAAATCAGATAAAATATTCATGTGAGTAGGGAACACACCAGAATTTACAGATATTATTCAAAGATATTGGATTATCTTATCAGGTAGAGGAACACGAATCTTCAGTATACCGATAGAATTCAGAATCACTATTGGAAGAGTTCAATAACTGACGGAATCATCAGTTATGCAGAATATCACTTGAGCTGGTAAGGAAGAAATGAATATCTCCCAGAAATAATGTTTATCGACTGGTCAATTCATTGTCCTTACAGGGTATTTACACTTTAATACCAAAAATTCTAGTCCATATATAATCTTCGGAATCATCACTGAATAAATCTTCTAATGTCTTTATTTCATGTTCACGCTTCCACTATATCATAAAATGTTGACGTGCTTGATTTGAAGTTCATGATCCATAAGAACATTACATCATGTATGTTCATTAACGCTTACAGACTCATCCAAATCACTTACTTAATCCTTAGTCCTTGAGGTTACTAAATTCATTTAGCAGTCAAGTCCATTACAGTTACTTCGGATTTTCCAAAGTAATTCAGACGTTCCTGAATTTCAGATACATATTGTACCTTCGTTCAATTCGGTCTTCGTGGTTGATTTATCGAACAAATATCCAATTCTTATTACTGAATGCGATCTAGAGTTTAGCTGTATACTTTCCAAATTATCATCGAGCCAAACTTGAGAAGACGAACACACATTCAAGTAATATCTATGTCGTTCTGGTACTGACTTATCGTTAAGGTTGATCGACTCACTTAAGTTGTGTTCCATAACTTTTAAAGGTAGTTCAAAACCTATGCTTATTTGGATTCCTTAATTAATCCAAGACATTTACTTAGTATAGGCCATAAGGGTATTTTGGTCATTTTGGTATTCAGTTTCATTCCAATCATTACAGAGCTCGAGGATATCCACTCATTCCTGAGCTTGGTGATTTTCTTGGGTCATTTCCATTATATGGTATTATGGTCATTCTACAGATCCGATGTATTTCAATCATTTCCTTCAATCCTGTCTTATTATTTAATACCAATTTATCATCTATTTCAGTCCCTTCAAACAATTCTGATAAAAGAACACCCCGATAAATTATTCTTCATGTATTTACTCACAACTCGTATATTTTCGGGGTTAACTCGAACTATTTTACCTCTCAAGAGAATTTTCGTAATTTCTTAACCAGATAATTTTGATATTAGCTCTTAATGAAAATAATTATAATTTAAAGATCCTATGATCAATTGTTTTCCCGAACATTCTCTAGTCTTGAAATTATTCCTTAACAAACTTTTAGCATCTTGCGCAAACCCTTTTTGGCGTTAAAAACCAATTATCCAAATTTTCTAAATAAAACTATTATTTCTTCTATACATCTGCAATTATATCAGATCAATATGTCTTTTCAGAGTTATTAACCAATTTCCAGGGACAATTCATGTTATACTACAATATAAGGGTATTTTCATAATTTTACCCTACCAGAGTATTCTCATAATTTCCCATCCAAGTACCTTTAACATTTAACCTTTGATGATATAAAAAATAAGTTACAAATACATGACTGATTTCTTTATCACTAATCTCAAACTTGTAATTTAATTCTAACAATTCCTCAATCTCTTATTTAGTCATTCGATCTGTATTCAATTACAGAATTTCTACCACATTCATATCGAGTGTATAAATTATTAAACTCCACAAAAGTGACCAACATTATCTTATTCATGCATTTACCAATATTAACATGTTCCATAAAGCATAAAGAGGTAGTAAAGTATTACCTCGATTTTCGTGCCATACTAAACAACCATATAAATTCCATTCGAATGCCCTCGATCTTTAATTCATCTTCAAATAATTCCTTAAATACATATTAACATAAATTTCATTAAAAATGGAGCTTAAT